AGCTGCTGTAGTCTGGCTCCGCCGGGGCGATGTAGGAGGAGTGCGCGGTGGCCGTGTCGTTGTAGTCGTCGTTGGCCCCGGGGTGGTGGCGGTGGGATGTCTGTGCTGCCTTTTCCGGGTCCATCTGGGGCGTGTGCGGTTGTGTGTACCTGTGTTAAAAGACGGAACGGAAAGAAGAGAGACAAGGATATTATTTTGTGTTTCTGGAAGTGTTTCTGGTACAGAACCCCCTTCCCGGCGCTGTTCTTCCTCGCTGCTGTCTTGCCTGTAGGTTTCGGGATCCGGTCTGGTCTCTTCTGTTTGTTCCTCTTCTCTTGCACCGAACGCTTCTTACCCCTCGACAAGACTCTCTGTGTCTTACAGAACCGACCCTGCTCACTTCTCCGCAAGACCTTTTTTCGATACAGGAAAACGGAATGGACAAGATATTCAAAACGATGAGAGAAGAAGGACCGTTTCTGATAAAACAGCGTAACAAGATTTCAACCCAAGAGGTTTCGGGAACTCAACAAGACATACAGCCCAAACAAACGTCCAAAGACACCCGTCGTGGGAGGTGGGCAGAGTCACACTTACTTGTAGTTTTCGGGCCGCCTTGGGACTGCCCTTGGGTAATGAACCGAAGCGAAACAAGTGGAGGGGGTGTGTGGCGGGCGGTTCCTAAGTCGGCGGGCGGCGGCCGGTTCGAAAAGGTGGGTGTCAGAGAAGGGCGCGGGAACGAACGGGGGTGGTGGAAAAGGAACCGCACAAGGTTGGGTGGGTTAGGTGATTTGATGCAAGTCTTAAGTCATTTCTCCATCCAAAGGCGAGAAGCCGAGAGAGGGAGAAAGAGGCGGGAAGAGACTAAAGGGATTGGGAAAAAAGTTTTTTGTGCGGTTGTTGCCCATCCATGCGCTTACCCCAGATGTCACGGAAGCACGTCTAAGGTAAGGTCGTGTAGTCCAGACCAGGGGAGCAAGACCAGGTTGAGGTTCCAGTTCCTTCGATCAACCAGGGTGGACAGGTTGGGTTGCAAGTCAGGTTGCGAGTTGTCCAGAGTCGTCGGCTCCCGCTTCCTCATGGGGAACCACGGTTAAGGAAGATTGCAAATGCCCATCCTTCGCATCATCTCTTTCTCTCTCTGCGTGAGTGCCTGTCAGGCATCTCGCCAAATTCTCGTCTCATGCCACCCCTCCTGATCCCCGTTGTCTCTATAGAGTTAGAGAAAGACGAGACGCACATGTCCCAGGCGCATGGCCGTGCTAGTTATAGTTAGTCCGGGGTGCGGAAGGGCGGCTCAAGGAAAACCAGAAACCGGACCAAACTGACCAATGGCGTTATTTCACTTAGTCGTGGTTTTCCCTCCACCCCAAGATCCCTTTTTTTTTTCTTGCCCTTCCCCACCAACCAAAAACGACCCCGGCCTTGAACCAAACGACACGTCCTTCAGCCGAAGCCGAGCCCTGGGTTCGTTGTTTTTGTTAGTGGCCGAAGCCGACGCCGTTCGGTCAGGTCCGGCGGGCAAGGTCACCCAACCACCAAACAGAGGCAGCAGGTCCACGCGGACAGCCGACTTACATGGCAGCAGACTGCAGTCATCTCTTGGGAAAAGCTGTATAAAGCAACCCCGACGTCCCGCGCGGAATGCCGTATACCGCAAGACGAAAACCTCCCTCCCAATGCCGCAAGTGAACACGAACAAACGACCGAGCGGACATCCATGATGCAACCGCCACCTCAAAGCGGCACATCTCGCCTGCAACTTACACCATCCAAGCCTCTCGATCTTTCCGCAACGGTCCGTCGCATTTCCCCCAAAGTCGATTACGCCCTCAACGACCTTTTGCATCTCTTGGCCGGCTCGCCCATACGGCCATCTCTAGCTCATCGAGATCCCGTGGCGCCTATCCTTTCTCGAAGCAAACGGCAGGTGACTCATGGAAGGAAGACAGTCGTGACGTCCGAGAATTAGTAACGGAAACACGTCTGGCACCAGGTGTTTCCTTTCCCGGCCGGCGGTAGCGGTAGCGGTAGCGGCAGCGGCAGCGGCATCGGCAGCAGCAGTCCACCCACTACCACCGACCAAAATCGCCTGGGTGCCAGTCCTTCCCCTTTCCCCCTCCCCTTGGACGTCTTCTTCGCCATTTATTCCTGCACACCGCTAAGCCCAGGCTCGCCAAGTAATGCATATAGCAAACGTGAAACCCTCCAATTCTCGCTGGCCCACGCTCTCCCGCTGCCCGCCAGACGCCGATGGCGAGTTGCGTTCGTTTGACTCTGTCCGGCTCCGGCCGCCCTCGCCAACGGGAAGTACCTAGGTGAGTACCCATAATAAATGGCCCGTGCGTTCTGCGTGTGCTGGATCCGCCGTACTTTACCCGAACAACTTGCTTTACGTAATATCCGGAATTTCAACCCTGGGCCCCCCCGTCACCCAGCCCAACGGATCTCGATCCAAATGCTTGGATCACCACAAAAAACGTGATCCCGAATGTTTACCTCAGCAGCGATGCGCGTCCCCTCTTCTTTGCATCTATCTGCTGGCAACTGCGCTAACAGTTCCACATGCAACCGCTGCCGCAGCGCTGGTAGGGCGGCACGGGAGCCAGTCCGTCGACCGTCTCTGCAGACCGGGTACGTCTGCCTGCCTGTTGCTGGAGTCGGAAATTCCGCAAGGGGCCCGGCCACCTAGGTATGCATCTTAAACCCGCCTCCGTCTCTTCTTTCTGTTTGTTTTTCCCTTTTCCTTTACCTCTACCCCAGGCGGTAGAAGGCGGTCTCTGCTCTTGTCCATAGGTGGAAAGGTACGGATAGGGGCGGCCGCTCAACACACAAAAACCTCGATGGCGATTTGGCGAACCTCTCGGTAGCATCGTGAACCATTGCCAGGCTTCTCCGACCAGAAACGGGGGAGAGAAGGCTGCCAAGTTATACTGCGCACCGCCAGCCGCTCCACCCCTCCCCAAGAAAGAAAAAAAACAAAAAAAAACCCGTGCCGTGGAAGACGGGGATCTTCCATGTTCACGCCGACGTCACCAACGTGGTTCTGCCAAACCCGGAACCGAACGAGTCAGTGCTCGGCCGAACCACTGCAACAAGTGTGACGAAGCCAATCCTGGCCCTCCCTCCCTCCCAGGAATTGTACTTCAGAATTAAGCGCGACACGCTGTGAACGCTGTACAAGGTTCGTAATTCTGTTTTCCTTTAGGTTTTAGGAGGGGGGCAAGGCAAGGTAATCCGTCATCGTCGTCGTCGTCGTCGTCGTCGTCGTCGTCGTCGTCGTCGTCGTCGTCGTCGTCGTCGTCGTCGTCGTGGGTTCACGATGCCAGCTCCGCTTCCTCCCGCATGCTTGCAAACGCAGTCGCAGCCGCAGTTGCCCCTCTCCCCTCCCTCTCGCATGCCATGGGACTGCCTGCGTCTGCTCCTGCTTCCGCTGCTGCCATGCCATGGCCCTCTGCCAACCAAAAACCCCGCGCCTGGACGCACGCACGCAAACGCGACCATGCTGTGCTGGGCTGCCATGCTGCCATGCTGTCAAATGCTGGCAAGGGTCCCCCATCTCTCATACGACGTCGGACTGCGTTCGTATTTTAGGCGAAGGAGCCTAGGCCCGGCGGTCGACGCGCACTGGGCCGGTCACACTCATCTGGTCGAAATTGCTGCCGTGTGCAGAGAGAAAGAATGGCTCTCCCTCTGTCTGTGTGTGCGGGGAGCCGCAGAATACACCGGCAGTGCCTTCACACTGCCGGTGTATTCTGCTGGAAAAAGACGTCCACGGCTCAATTAGTAGCAGCACCTGGGATTATCGGGGACTCAAGGTAGCAATCGGCCCGAGGCGTTCGGGGCGCCGTAAGGCTGGGTTGCTGCTTGGTAGACGCCCTCGGCCCTTAGTCCAGCAGTGTCCAAAGAGCCGTAGATCGCGTCGATATGCGACAGGTCACTGTTCGCAAGGCACGTCCTCGTCGAGCTTGAGCTTGGATTGCGTAGGTCCCTGTAGCGGTAAGTGAGCCTATGTGGGCGTACCACATCGCATCGTTGTCGTGACAAGCATACGAGAACCTCACGTTCTCTCGGCATCAAGTCCGCCGTCCACGAATTGCTGCCCGAAGTTTCACGCAATCTGTTGATTTGATACAGGTACTTTTTCATTAGGCTTACCGCCACCCAAAAACACCAATGCTTCGGCATGCTATAAAATCTCTTGCATCAACATCGTGAGCGGGCGTCTCATATCCTCAATACATGTCATACCCCTTGCTGGGCCAGGCATCATCATAACATAACAGCCGTAACCCATACATCTGAAACAACCACGCTGCAGCCTTTGTTGTTCCCTCCTGCCTCCCGTCGACCCAACGGGAGATCCGGGGACGGGGGACGACTCAATCCCGAAAGGTTGAAGTGGATGCAACCCGCCAGAAGCCGACGTCTTCAAAACTCACTGTCCATGTTCCTGTGCCCAACGCTGCACCCAATCTTGGCAACTACGAATTCTTCGAGATCTTCGTTCTTGATGGGCGGTGGGCATAGGTAAATCCCACGTGAATTGTTTCCATGTCCAGAACGCCCCTCGATTGATACGTTCGTTGGAAAGCGACGTAAGTTTGCCTCGCATGCCTTGGACTCCCTACAGCCGACTGGTTCCATGACTCGTGACATCTTCCGCGACGCAGAGAACCGCACAGAGGCTTTACAAGCGGAGCGGATCATCAATTTCGTCTCCTCTGAGCATCGTCGTTCAACAGGCCTTTGAGGAAATCTCCACGTTTGCTGTGTGGTAGCCCATCCAATTCGGCCTCCGTATCTACGTCCGTCATCGCGTCTGTCATTACCTCGCCTTTCATTGTCGTAGCTGAATCTGACTGGCTGTCTTCACTCTTGGCGAGAGCATCGATTTGCACTCTGATCGCGTCCAAAATTTTAGTACGAGTCGTGGCATCGAGCTTGGAGATGGACGGTTTTCTGCGTCGATTTGTTAGTCAAAGAGCGTAGCCAGGGAAGGCCAATGGGGCCAGGACTATTCACAATGATTCGAACAGAGACGATATTTCGTCTAGTAGTAGGGAACCGTGGGGCCCAACGTCTGCTCCTGGTGCCGGGGAGGACTCTGCTGACTTGGTAGAGGCCAGTTGGATCAATAGGTCGGCGTTTTTGATAAACTTGACAAGGTCGCCCAGGCCTGTCTGAATATTTGTGTTGCGTATGCGACGAATGATTTCGACAGATTCGGAGTCGTCGCGCATAGATAGTAGGTGGAAGAGTTCCTCAAATAGAGAGACGCGTTGTTGCAGTTCTTCGTGTTTGGATTTGAGGGCGGCGAAGCGTGTGACGTCGGGCCCTGCATCGTACTCGCACTTGGTGCGGCCTATGCCTGCACATAATGAGCAGACGGGACGTAAGCCGTCACATTTCGACTTCCTCCGACGGCATGATGTGCACGCAATCTTGGTCTGGGGACGACGTCTTGGGGCAGAAGAAGCACCAGGACCGCCGGTAACAGATTGCGGGGTCGACTCGCGCTCAGAAGAGGCGCCGCTGGCTGCCGCTGGGCCTGCGGGCAGGAGCTCACGCTGTGGTTTCATGGTTTGGGTAACCTCAGCCTCGGCCTTGGACCATGGGGAAGACCTGGACGCCTCCCAGGTTTGCCAAGGGATGGTGAGGAGTGCCGCCAGCGTTCGCGTCTGTGTATGGTGGTGTCTGTTGGGCGTGTAGTTGACACGGCGAGATCTGCACTCTCACAGCAAGCAATTGGAATGGCGCCAGGGGACGATTCGAGAGAGGGCAGAGCGGGCCACAACTGCAAGTCCAGAATGAGATCCGCTCGCCGTGTCGCTAAAGAACTCTCGATTTCCTTGACGGTGCGCGTCATACTGCCGACCCGCCGGCCATGCTGGTAAATTAAGAATCGTGATGTGTCCCGTGTTGGGTGCTATTGTGGTTTTTGTCTTCCCTTCCTTTTTTTGGTGGTTGGTGTTGCGTCAAGGACCCGGTCCTGTGGCTGCCCCAGTCAAGGTCAGGTTTCCTTGGAGCTTCGCAGAGGAGGAGAGCCAAGTGTGCAAGATAAGGTATGTACCTTCTGACGCAATGAGCAGGAGACTTTACCGATAGCCCTATTCCCGTGCCAGGACGTCACTCAGAAAAGATATTGCTGCTGCTGCTGCTGCTGAGTGCTGGGCAGAAAGATGGATCAGCAGGCCCAGTGAGGTGAGGTAAGGTAGGGGGCAGAATGGGCCCAAAGGCGGCCAGGCTGAGTGAGGTAGGTGACAAAAGCATGAGTGTGCGATGCTTGGAGGTGCCCGCTCACCTGACGCTTGCTGTGCTGGATTCCAGTTGTTCCGGTGCCGGAAGGACAAAAAAAAAATTACAGTACAATATGTGCTATCGTGTCTCTTCACCTTTTCACAAGGTGAAGGGGGGGGTTGAGGAAAAGGAACAAAATTAAAGACAAAAAGTGCCAAATGGGCTGTTGAGTTTAGCCCGCAAAGTTCCCCAAACCCATGGACTCGTCTGGCCGTGGCCAGGCCTGGCGGACAGCTAGGAAGAGCTGAGTAGAGTGGTAGCAGCGGTACAGTCTACCCACCCAGCATGCCCGGGCGACCGTGGCATGCCCACAGAGAGGACAAGGGTGCCGCAGCAGACAGAAAGTCGCTGCAGCTATCGAGAGTTTGCTGGCGCATCGGGACCTCAGCCTTCTGTCAGGCGCGCAGGATTGGATGCTTCCCGACCACCCGTCGAATCGCGTTTGACCGTTTCTTTCGTTCACTGAAACCCGCGTGTGCACTAGCTTTGCTGCCAGGCACCTGTTGGAAAAAGGCCGTATTTTGAAAGCGGAGGGGGATGAGGAATCAGATATCCGCAAATGAGGAGGCCACAAACCTGGAAGGCATGGATGGGCATGGGCGCCCGGGCTGACGCTGGAAAGCGTACGTTTCCCACCGGATTGAAGTCCTCTGTTTTTGGCGATCGCGCATGCGCATGTCGGGGCATGGTGTTGATGTTGATGTCGTTATTATTCTTACTATGCGCTACGCAGTAAGCCGCCAACAACGAATCATTCGCAGCAACCCATCGTCACATCGCATCGCATCGCAGCGCAGCGCATCCAGCCATCCGTCGTCAGCACATCTTCCAGAAAATAGAATGCGGTGATGCCTCCGAGCCAATCAGGGTTGCTTCGGGTTTTCCTTGGCCCCTCGTCATCGGGCCCCACCATCTGCGCGTGCCTCAGTAAGGTAGTGTCCCTCCACGTCATTACGTCAGGTGAGCCGCTGCGAGTAGGTACGCCGCAGCGTACGGAGTACCTTACCTAGGTTGGGCTTGCCATTAAGTACCACCATCGGACGAAGACGATTGAAAGGGGGGCTTTGGAGGGGAGGGACACCAGGGGGGGAGGGGACAAGAAAAAAAAAAAAAGGGGAGAGGGAAAAAAAAGGAAGAGGGAAAAAAAGGGAAAGGGGGGAGGGACTAGAAAGGGCGCCAACGCCCTCAAGAGAAGAAGGAGAAAAAGGGAGAGGAGTTCAGAAAGGAAGGAAGGAGGAAGGAAAGAAGAGAGGAGACGAAGCAAAACGCAACAACGCTAAGAAACCCGTCTTGACGCCACGATGCTTGCATGCCCAGCGCCAGAAATCATCCATCATTTTACCGAAAACCATCGCGTCTTTTTCGGTTCGTCAATTCGATTCTTCAACTTGTTTGCCGCCCTCTCGTGTATTCTAACGCCAATCCGAGTCGCTCAAAACACAACATCCTTCTGTCGTGTGTAGATACGGTCGTCCACCCGACTCGGGAAGAGCTCGTCGCTTGCGTCGCTTTGCTTTCAGATCGACTGGTATTCTTGGGGACTCGTTGGTGCGGCTCCCGCGCTGACACCGCCCGCGGCTCTGGCGATGTATCCCCGGATAAGCTCGCAGTCGCAGTCGGCATGCCGTAGGATTTCGTTCTTGAGGGCCAGCACCTCGTTCTTGAGCGCCGTCACGCACGAGTCCAGGTACATCCGCTCTTGTGAGACTTCCTGCTCCTTTATCGCAAGGTTTTCCTCGTACTGTTTCGTCTTCTCCCGGCATCGCTTTGCTGCAGCCCGGTTCTTGACACGATATTTCTTCTTCAGTTCCGGACGCCAGCTTTCGCTCTGCTCGTACAGCTCCTCTGCCTCACCTTCATCCTTGCTATCGTCGTCTACCATCGTCGCCTTGTCGTCGTAAGAGTTCGAACTCGACGGAGATGGCTTGCCTCCAATCCCGATCTTTGCCCTCTTGTGACTTTGCCCGGCGGCCGACGAAAGAGTGCGGGACTTCCAGTTGGTAGGTGTCTTTGTCGTATTTGTCGATTTCTTGGATCGAGATTGAGGTTCGGGTTGCAAATGCGCATTAGGGGCAGGCCAAGCCTCGCCTTTGTATGTGTTGACGAGCGACACCAGCGGTTGCTGAAGATTTTCGTATTGAGATGGGGGCCAGTTGTTCGCTTGGGTAGCCCACGTAGCCGTTGTATATTCGGTGCCCATCCCGAAGTGTGAGGACTTCAGGTTCTGAGCTTCGGCCCCCAATTGCGAAGGATATACGAAGTCGACAAATTCGTTCTCGGCATACATGGGTTCGACCGTGTGGTCATCCAACCCAAGCCATTGCTGGCATTGAGACTCCTCGCCTGGGGAGAGTAAGCCGCTCTGGCCCGGAGGTGTGGGATATAACGGCATGGGTATGAACATGGCGGTATTGTAAAGCATGTCTGGCGGACAGGGGTGGTCCGACGAGGCCATCGTGTCCTGCTCCTCAGTGGTTAACTGGCTTGAAACTCTGAACTGGATAACACTCGCCCACGGTCGAGCTTACAGGATGATGGCGGGTCCTTTCAGGAACAAACGGCCTAGTGATGGTGATGGTATTAGGAGCGTAAAAATCGAATGACTCGGCCAGGTAATGACCGTTGCTGAGTTATCTCTCGGCTACGCCAGATACACGAGAGAGGTTGAGATTGGGGATGTGGGACAAGGAACGACAGCAGGCCAACGAGGATGGACGGATGCAAGTCCGAACTTAAGAAAAGCAGGCACCTAGGCTACGGAGAAGGCGAGCCCTAGGTGTGCCCATGAGGCAAGGAGAAAGAACGAAGGGTAACTTGGATCGACTCTTAGGTACCTACCAAAGTAAACGTAGACATGGATTGCGTGTGTGGGCAAGTTTGCAGGGGGCCGGTGAAGGACACTGAAGGGTGCCAGCTCTACTCAACTCGATAGGACCAAGGCGTGCTTGTATCATTGGCATCCCAACATGTGGTCAATGTAGCCGACCAACCGCGCTGAAGCGGGACGGGCATGCGCGAGCCGCCTGCCTGCTTGTTTCATTCAACGAGGGCAGCAAGACTCAAGCTGCCATAACGAAGCCATGGCGGGGAGACGGGATGCATGGTGGGTTGGAGAAGAGTGGAACAAGATACAAGATGACGGGGTACACGGGACCAGCAGCATGCAAGAACAGGGTAGGCAGCCCAGGTCGAACAGACGTCGAGATAAGTAAGAGGAATAGGAAGTCAAGAACGGGTGAAGGTCGTGAGATGAGTAAGCTTAGACGTGAGTGAGAGCGAGTGTCGCAGAGCAGGAGCAGAGCAAACATACCTGCTAGGTAGGCAGGGGTCATTGTGCATGAATTGAAGAAGGGAGCGATTGGAAAGAAAAGACTGGTCAGGCAGTGCGAAACAGAGTGAAGGAGGTTGAGGAATGCGGCCGGGGAAGGCAGATGTACCGGAAGGAAGCCAGGCAGTAGGCACGCAGTGCTGCGTAGACAGAGGATGGATGGATGAGGGTGCAGAGAAATTGGACGGATATCATTCGCAGTCAAGGGTAGGTAGGCAAGCAGTTTCCATCCACTCAATCCTGGCAGAGCGCAACGGAGGCCTAGTCCGGGCGTGCTGATAGGTTGGGCCGCGTTGGCAGCAGAAGGATCACCCAGTGGCAGGTGCTCATTGGCGCCGGAGTCGTCTCCGGCTTCGAAAGGAAGTAATGATTGGTGCCGGCCTGAACTCCGTAAAAATATGTTTGACGAATAGGATTGCCTGCCTCCTCCTACCCCCCCTTTCTCCTGGCCCCCCCTTTCTCCTGCCTGGCTCTGTGGCTCTGCCGCTCTGGACCTTGCCCGTCTCTCCCGCCTGTTCCTTGAATTGGATGCAGCTAGGAGGGGTGTTACGCTAAGGTGTCTGTAGTGCAAGGCCGGTCGCCAGAGAACCCACCGTGTCTGACGCTGTAGATCCGTACACTAAGGTAGGGAGAGTACTGACTTGGCTTTTCATCGCTGCCTTCACCTTCACCCTCACCCTCACCTCACCTTCACCATTAAAGTTGCAGGCGCACAACGTCGGATGTTATTCAAGCCCATCGACGGCGCGCGCCACCACGTTTCGTCCAGCCGTCCGCACACTGCTCACACTACCGCTTCGACTAGCTAACGTCTTCCTACATCAACAAGCCAATCTATGCCCCCGCCGGCACATGCTCTCAACATGGAGCTCCGATGCCGTCCCGCGCCGCCAGCTCGCCACCCACCACCCCCCTTCCACCATTCTGCTGCTCTAGGTAGGCATGTACCTTACTGTGTGTGGTCCTCCATTCAAGAGACACATACAGGGACGGGCACACCCACCTACTAAGTACACACTGCATCCATCCTTGATTGCAGAAAACGAAAATGCCCTGCACCTCGCGTGATCCAGCACTACCTGCCCCCAAAAGCGGCGCCAGGACACTGCACCACTGAGCTTGAGAGTAACAGCACGATTGAATCTTTTGATACCACCTCGCCTGATCTGGCCTGTACTGCTCGGTACCGTCCTTACGGGTCCATCAATGATATACCTGTAACATCTTGTCTACTGCGTACAGACCAGCCCGTGGCATCTTTCCGTGCACCACGCAACCGCCATATCATTTTCTAGCATACCTGCCTCTCGTCATTCTCACTTAACCCCCCCTTCATCCCCATCAAGCCCACAAGAGCAGCGAGTGAGCATCTGCAAGCCTGCATCTCGAATCAGAGAAGCAACTCTTCATGCTGGACGTGCTTGGCTTCCGTATAGCCCCTAGCACTACTTGTTTTCCGCCCCTGGCTTTTACCCCGAAAGAGTCTTGCTTCCGTGCCCGTAGCCGTCGTCTATCGCCGCACGTTGACCAGACCCTGGCCATTACCAAGTGCTGAGAAACAAACCCGCGGCCCTTGCTGCGCCCGCCAGCGAACCGAGTGCTCCCCGACCTCTGTGGCGACCCATCTGTCAAAGTGCCATCAGCCGCAAGCCGCCCCTCGTCGCGTGAAGCTAGTTAGTTGGTCCAGGGTCCTACTCTAGTGTAGAGCCGCTGCGTGGAACCACGCCCACCGTGTTATCGACACGACCGGTCAAACGCCCACTAGCGATACATTGACCATGTCTACCAGTGACTGTCATTGCCTCGAATCAGCCCTGAGGAATGCAAGAGCAGACAGAATATCAGGAGTAATGAAAAATGCAGAAAAGCTGCGTCTGTATGCAGGTAACGCCATTACCACGGCATGACGAGATCCTCGCAGCCTTACAGCGCCCATTCCACCCACCCCTTGAAGGATCTCTCTTTTTTTTCTTTTTTTTTCTCACCTTCTTCTTTTCTTCTTTTTCTGTGGCTTTGGCCACAGACAGGCCACGACGACGACAGCCAGACTTCGCACCCCATCCCACAACAAGCAGCACCCAGAGAACCCAGGAGGCGGTCGCGGCGCGGCGCCACCTGTGCCTGTACACCATCGTATGACGAGAAACAAGTCTCGTTCTAGCGCACACGAACAGGGCCAGCCTTTGATTCGGCTCGTACGCGTAGACTTGTCAAACGCAAAGCGAAAGCGGGCTTGCTAAGAAACCCATTCGACTTATACCCCCCTCCCCTTGCCCCCTTTATCAATCATAAGCAATGACACCACCCCCACATGGATTGATGAATGTCGAATGAAATGCGCTGCCTGCTACTGCCGAAGATCATCGGCCCCGGGGGCACACTAGAAGCTTGCATCACGCCACTTGGCCTGCAAAAGCCGACCCCCCTCCCCCTTTCCGCCCCAGCCTGCCTTGGCCCAGGGACCTCATTTAGCTCACGCCGGGCGCATGTTGACGTTCTTGGCCTACTACCGCCGGCTCGGATGCGCGGAAGGCACACACGCGGTAACGCAGAGCGGAGCTTAAGCCGTATAAGTAAGCCGCAAGTGCGACAGTTTGCCATGGGGAAGTGCTCAGAGTAACCCCAGCACACGAAACCCCCCCACCCCGACTTTGCGGTCTCTGTTGTCGCGTTGGGATGAAGATTATTGCAGAAAAGTGAATGAAAAATCCAGGGGGAGCAGAAAAAACGAGGCAAATAGAAGAGTTTGCGGAAATAAAGAAACCCATTCGTATAGGGACGCTGGCTAGCCCCTTTTTTGCAACCCCTCTCCCTCTCTTCCTGCACTCAACGGCTCATCTGCAGCCACTTGCACATGGGCGGTGACAGCGACGAGACAACTGATAGGGCGCGAGGTAGGGCCAAGCTATCGCGAACGTGCCAACCATCATCCGCTGGTCCAAGTCCCAAGGGGCCAGCTCAGCATCCGCAATCTTCCTCGGAGGGAATGAGAGGAGGGCGGGAAGAGGGCGTCGTGGCAGACGCGAGCCTTTTGCCACCCCACAAACCGACCGGCTAGGTACACCACTGTGACAGGTCCCGATCAGCATCCACAGTGCTGTCGGAGTTCACTCCGCCCACTCCGGACGAGAGGGGCACCACTGCAGCCCTGGACCCCATGCTCTAGAACACCGCTCATAATATTCGATCCGCGCGGAAGGCGAATGGCGTTCGGGCCTGCGATGAACGTATGGCGGGATTCCAGAGGCAAGGTGTTGCGATGTAAGTCGAATGCTGGTCCTGGACTTTTCATGGTAGACGGCAGTTGTGTGCGGAGCGGCGTTGGACGTGCGTCTCCGTACTATGTAGAATGCTCGTGTTTTTCCGGTCCTGTTGGGATACGGCCGCCCCGAACCAAAGACCCCTTCCCCACTCTACCCTCGGAAAAGCCAGCCAGAGTATACGGATTACTTCACAGTAGAGCGCAAAACCGGGTCTGAAGTATGGTAGCTAGCCTCCAGGCGAGGCGGCCTGGGCCAGATAACGCCATATCCTCTTCCTTTCAAAGAGACGTCTGTGAGAAGAAGCCCACCCCGAAAATGAGATTCCGTGGAGGAGACCAAGCAGGGAAAAATGAAGATGGGATCTCTGGGCGATCATCTCGATCGCTAGACAAGTTGACATCCATAAACCTTAGTAGGGGAGACAGAGGGAGGCGTGCGTGTATGGGTAGGTCGCGCTGCCTGCAGGCTTGTAGACGACGACGATGGACAGACGGTGCATTCAAGGGACGTGAAAAGGACATTCTTGACATGGGATTCGGGGGAGGGGCAGTCCATCCTCGAGTGTGAGATGCTCATTTCGAACCCCTCGGTGTCCACGTCCTGCCGACTTAGATGGCTCCCACCATCTCATGATGGGATGCTGACGGGCTGTCTGAGATTTGCCAAAGTAGAGCAGAGTTGTCGAGTTCAACCGGGAGACCATGTTGAAGAGGGGGTACCCTCGAAGAGCCGAGAGCCGCAGCCAGGATGGTGATCGGGTCTAGACCTCCTCCCCGTCCGGATTCTTCCACTCCCCACCCCCCCTAGCGCTTTGTTTCTCCCTCGATACCGATGAAAGTCGAGATTCTGGGGGACGGCTGAGCC